GGGGGGGGGGAGCCGCAAAACCTCGAACTTAAAACTTACACTCACTATTTTCTTCGAAAATATACGTGAGTTCCACAAAAGTCTCGAATGAGTCTCAAAAGAGTCCTATGGTACTAATACGTGCTGGAATAGGTAGGGTTAATACGGTGCAATTGCAGCCGTATACGGTAGTTTTATTGTCGTGATCGGTGTCGGATACGGCCTTTTACGTCGTCGTCGGGGCTGTGTGAAGCTATGATTACGGTCGTTTACGGCCGCCGTATTACGACGTATACGACACGGCGAAATACGGTCGGAATACGCCGCATGGAAATACGGCAAAGGTACGGCCGTATTTGGCCGTAAATCTACTGTATACGGCAGTATACGGCTGTTTCTGGTCGCCGTATTGCTCGTTCTGGGCTATTATTTTCCATATATTTCATCGTTTTTTAAACTCACTCTAGCATAGTGAGTGACAAATAAAATGTGACCTTCCAGCTTTAGTCTTCTCATAGAAAAAGAAGAAAAGATCAACGGAAACACGTTTCAGAATGTTCTAGAGCCTTCTAAAAGAACATAAGATCTAATGATCGAAGCTGCTCAACATCTAAATGCTGGAATAGGCTTCTACATGGTGACTAGCAGCATATCATTGTGCCTTATAAGGCACGACAAAAAATACTCAAGTAAGCGACGTTGAGCAAGAATTATCGAGTGCTAACACGTAGCGACGGTAAACGTCGTTTCGGTTAGAGAGAGCACTGGAACGTACGATCGTGAGTTTAAATGATTAAGGGCGACAAAATCAATGTGAACATTAGATCAAAGCAAACGATGACGAAAACAACAAAAGTAAATGAAAAAGAAAAGAATAGTAACAATTGAATAAGAGCGAGAAGCGTCAAGTAAGCGAGAAAATGCAAGAGATACCGTAGTCACAAAATAAATGGAGACAAAATTCGGCTTAGGATGTTCTTGGTTCACAGAGAGCCTCACGTAATCATACACCATCTATCATTTAACCTAGAACCTGGTAGTAAATGTCAGTTCAACATTTTAGCTTCATACGGAACTGCGCTGCCCTAGAGAAAGTACTGAGTTCAGGGTACCCATGTACTGAGAAAGCTCTAGCAGAGTACCCAATATGGGTACTTTGAAAATTCTCAGTCATTTTACTGATGTATGTACTGTTTGGGGTACCCGTAAAAGTACATTCACTGAATAAGTACCTGCATGGATATACAAGTCTGTAACTTTACTGAGGAAATCTCGACAGGGTATCCTAAATTTTTCGCGTTCTGTGTGGCGACTATTCATTCACCGTTTTCTTTTTTACGTACGGCTCTATATAAACAACTCGATAAATCATAAGAAAATAATCAATTTTCATACTAATTTTTTCTAAATTATTTCTTGACTATTTCTTTGTCGAGGGAATGCCGAGCTTGGTCGTAAATTAAGATCGGACTACCCTGAAGTGGTCTACGACCAACTCAAGTTGAGTCGGATCCCGACATTGTTCCTGCTAAGTTTTTGGAATTGAAAAAATTAAATTGAATAAAGTAAAAAAAAATCTAGTAAATTATCTCAAGAAAAAGAAAAAATTTTAAAAAGTCAAAGATCAGGTTCGATCCTGAACATACTGAAAATTTGGTAACAGGGTGCTTAGAAATACTATACAATGGTACCCAATTCAGTACTTGATCAGTATCTTTAGGTACCCAATTACTGTGCATTTTCCAGCAGGGTACTTGCCAAAGCACCACTTAGGTACCTGTAAGTACCCGCAAGTACTTTGGTACCCAAAAGTTCCTGTGACATACTGGTATCAGGGTACTTTTTTGGGTACCCTTAACTCAGTATATTCTCTAGGGTGGCAAGCTAGTTCTGTTTTCTATGTGCGAGCACCTAAAACATTAAATATCGCACAATGTTCTTCAGAGTGAGTGTGATAAGTCATATCAAATGTATGAGTTTCGCATTTTAACCCCATAGATATATGATGGTTTATACGAGTTTCCAGGAAAGTTTATGACTTTCCGAAAACTGATTGAATTTTTGAAACTTTAAACCGAATTTCCAGAAACTGAAATTGAATTTAACAGTAGTGTCAAAGCTGAAAGTTGAATTCAAATATTGAAAGTCTATTTCAATTATTCAATTATTGAATTGTTGAACTTCAACTACGGTAAAACCTCTCTAAGATGAACACTAACGGGACTTTTTAAAAAGTGTTCATTAAAGGAGGTGTTCATCTTATGGAGATTTTACATTGAATGAAGTTTTACATGTGTACAGTGCAAGGTTGGTATAAACGAATGATAACTATGCACAACTTATATTAAAATCTGTTACGGTTAATGCCAAATAAAAAGGTATCTTTTTCAACTATTACGCATATATATTCAATTATCATGTAACAACTAAAAAGAATATTTTTATCTTTAAATTATTAAACGTCTATTCAATTTCAAAGAAAAAGTAGTTTAAAAAGTATTTTTATCTATTATTTACATCTATTTATTTTTTATGAAAAAAAAGTCGTTAATCGTTGTTTGTTTGACTCCTTTCGATATGAAGCGTTCTCTTCATTTTCGCGAATTAATTGCACTTTTTCAGATAAAGTTAATGTGTGTTTTTTCGCCATGTAATAATCGAAGATAGAAATGTGCGTTATTCTCTCACACTAAATCGATTAACTCATCGCGGACTGTTCATTTTCATTGTTTTGTTTGCACTGTACATACGACAAAGCTTGTTATCATGAATTGGCCGTCAAAAATTGACTTATTATCGCTTTATTATGTACAGTCTATTTTTTTATCTCCTTATTTCATACACGGACGCATAGTTCGTCACTGTATATTCACTATACAGAGGCTTTTTTCTACAGAGAGGACCGAAAAAAGTGTTCATTGTTCAGAGTTTGGAGGTGTTCATCTTGCGGAGGTCTATTTACAGCAAAAATTGATTGGGGGGACTGAAACATCTGTTCAAACCGGAGGTGTTCATTATAGAGAGGTGTTCATTAATAGAGGTATTACTGTATTCAACTATTCCTATATTTTTTTTCAATAATTGAATAATTGAATAGTTGAATAGTTGAACTTCAACTATTCAACTATTAACAAAATATAAGGTATTTTTCTCTTCACAAATTATACTTTTGTTTTTTCTGTTGTTGATTATTCAGTTGAAATATTTATGTTAAGTTAAATATAACATTAAGTCTTTTTTTCGTTCACGTTTTGCACATAAATAATAAATAAGGTAATTATATCTTTCAGATTATCATTTTTATTTTTCTATTGTAGATTATAGGATTGAAATATTTATTTGAAGTCAAATTAAACATGAAAATGCTTTTTTTTCAGTAGTGCCTAACTGAACAATGTGGAAGGTAACCAGGGTTGCCAAAATCCACATTTTATTCCATGGATTGTCTTTATCTGTTCTTTGTTATTTCCTGGTAAAAACAGGAGATTTGGCATCTCTGAAGGTAACTTTATCTTTAAATTATGTTTTTATTTTTTCTGTTGTAGATTATTCAGTTGAAATATTTATTTTAAGCTAGATGTACATTAAAAGTTTTTTTTTCTTTCACGATTATCAAGTGAAAAATAAACAAGATAATTTTATCCTTAGAATTAATATTTCTATTTTTCACTTGTAAATTACAAGTAACATTCATCAACATTGCATGTTGATTCACTGGCTCCTAGACTGACAGAATGGTGACACAGATGCCCTTATGTCTTTTAGTAAAAATGTATTGTTTAATGATGAATTTAGGACACATTAATATTTTCAAAATGTTGTATTTCACATACTATAGATATATTCAAAACAGTCTACCTGAAACATTGAAAGATGCTGTTGTATACGATAAAGAATATGCCTTAGTTGCTTGTAATATCTAGGAATGCTAGCTTATGCCATGGTGCTCGCTATTTCTAATATGGATATAGCTACTTGTGGCAGAGATCTGTTCATTATAGCGGTAAGAAGTATTATCTATGACATAGAAATGGTTGATAGTACCTTGAAAGCTGACTTTAGCCAAAAAAATGAACAATTATGCCGAATAAATGGCCCCTGTTACCACGACACATTATACTTTCCACTATCGCAACAGTCACTTGCACAACGATTATGATACTTTGCACCATGACAGCGGTCACATGTACCACGACCCCTGGTGCTTTTTACCATGAAAATGGTCACTTGTACCACGTAAATAGTCATTTGTGCCATAAAAATGGTCATTTGTACCACGAAAATGCTCACTTGTACCACAAAAATGGTAATTTGTGCCATGAAAATGGTACTTTGTGCCATAAAAATGGTCATTTGTACCACGGAAATGGTCACCTCTACCATGAAAATGGTACTTTGTATCATGAAAACGGTCATTTCTACCATGAAAATGGTCACTCATATCACCCCAGAGGGGTTTTGAAAGATATGTTCTCGGTAAAAACAAATTGCATATTTGGAATCAGCATGATTGATTACCCCCGTCCCCGTTGAGATCTCGAGAGGGTACCTCTGACCGCAAGCAAAAATTTTTTGGACAAAATTCCATGCAAAATATTGAACAGAACGAAAAAAAAACGCTTCGCACGGGTATCGAACCCGACGTCGCGTTATATACGCTCTTAGCCGTTCAGCTATATGCGAAGTGTTATTCATTCTTTTTTTCTTTTCTTTTGCTCTTATTTCATCTATCTCATCAAGTAAACGAATTTAATTACAAATTATATACATAAGAAAACAGCAGAAAAATTTTAATTTGCAATGACTTAGGCAAAAAGTAAGTTATGCAAGTTTATTTAGTAATTGAAGAAATAGAATTATGATCTTCGAAAACTTTTAAACCGATTTTCAGAACGTGGCAAAGGTTTGTTAAGAATTCTTTTTTCTGGTGCCCAAATCATTGATTCTTCTAATTCTTTCTCATCTTCGATTTCATCTGTATTTTCGATCTCTTCTGTAGATAAATCATCTTCTTTTTCAGAACCAGCTTCATCATTTGAAGGTGTCTTACCGGCATGAAAGGAAATATGGTCTTCGGTATAAGAGTCAAAATCAGTTAAATCTTCTTCAACAAAATCGTAAACACCTGTATGAGCAAACATAGACATTGCTTCTCTCTCACCGGGATCTTGGAAATTCATTTCGAGCATACGATACAACTTCTGAAGCATTGTAAGAAGGGGATTTTTCGAAGGATTTGTTGATGAAAAATATAAATTTGAAAGAACATCATTATTTTTTTCAACGCCCTGCATATTATAATCTTCTAGATTATTAAATTCATCAAATTCAAATAAATGATTTCCAATAATGTGAATATAAGGTGTAACAGTAGTACGAAGACCACTTTGACGGTATTCCTTTACAAACTGGAGAGATAAACGTTTGAGAACCCCTCTTACTTTTACAGAAGTGTGCTTAACTTCGTTAAGAAGTTCTTTAAACTTGTTAACAACATCTCGAGCCGACTTAGCCATGTCGACACTAAGGATATCGTTATAAGGAAAACTATCCACGAAGAAGAGATCCTGAAGATAGCCAGACAATTTTCCATGAGAAGCAATAGTTTTATTTTTATCATCTGAGTCAATTTGGAAAAAAAAACGTTTGCCTACAGTTCTTTCACAATGTTGATTAAGAATTTTTATTTTTCGTTCAATTATGACTGTGTGTTCACCTCCATATTTACCGGTACGAGAAGCATGCACCAAGATATCCTTCAGAATGACATCAAATACTCATAGCTTCATGTGCAGAGTATCAACACAATAGTCCTGATAATCAAATAAGTCTCCGAAAAGTGGTTCACACTTATATCCTAAATCATTAACCTTTTTTTCTAAACACACTCTCTGCTCTTCAAGAGAACGTGCTAGTTTAGTCGGATCATGGTACGAAGTAGGACCAACATGAACAGTTGTTATTTTTTTATTCTTTCCCTTTCCTTCAGAAATACATTTATCATAAGCTGTTTCTTCGGTTACATAGAGATCATCCTTATGTTGAGTGCAAAATACACAGGGATGATTGGAGCTGAAACCGGCAAGACCAAAAACATACACTGCGTTCATCAGATCACCACCTAGTCGTACATGAATATTAACATGTTTAGCTCCAATAGAAATGTATTTTACAGATTTAACATCATCAATGAATTCAGTTGGCAAACTTTTACGCAATAATTCTGTGTTCTCTTTTTGAACTTCAAAAAGAGCTAAAGGAACAAGATTCTTTGCCATCTGACAATTATGACCACCTTCAATACAATTAATCGATATGGCTACTATGTGCTTATTTCCTATTAGGGTTCCATCCATATTAAAACGAATATTTAATATATCGAATTGCTCAAGCTTCTGTTCATATTTGCGAGCAACAAATATTGCTGTACGTACAGCATATTCAAATCTGACATAAGCACTTATTTTAGTATATATAATTGGAAATTTTTTATTTGTTTCTTTTCTAAGTCGTTCAATTTCTTTCAAAGAATAAAGCTTTTTTTTACTTCGAACGTATTGAAAAATGGCATTTAGAGCTGAATCTGTCAGGTGGTAAGTATCTTTCAAATGTAGTAAATCTCTTTTATCTTTTTTTATTTTATTTTGTCGATGCATATTTTTATTTGGCTCGACTAAGATAGGATCTTCTTCATAGGAGCGTTTAACTCCACGTGTACTATATGTCCGACCAATAATAGCATCTATTTCTTCAACACTATAAGAACAAGAATCATTTGCGGGAGTTTGATCGAAATCTGTTTGAACTTCATGTACTTGTACCAATTTCAAGACAACATTTAAGAAAAAAGGACTTAAAGTAAACGATGTATCATTAAACAGTATTTTTGTTTTAAGTGCTTCTTCGAGAATCGAAAGATCGAAATTTAAATTGTAAGTCAAAGCACATTCCGTAACAAGACTAATAAGTTCATTAATATCTAATGTTCTAGATAACTGAAATGAAGATAATGCCTTTTTTATCAACAACTCATTGAAAGTTATCTCCACTATGTTAGGAAAAGGGTAAAATTGGAGAATATCAATTTGTTCGTTTGTTTTACGAATTAATAGAATTGGACTTAAATAGTTATTATTTCTATATTGAGAGAATCCCATCATTGGTTCTACTTCAACTAAAGGATTAATAGACTTAAAAACTAGAGAAAAACTGTTAATTTTGCGGAGAATACCAATTATACTTTTGCCAGCAGCCTCTACACGTGCGGCTTGTACAATATGACTTATTTGAAGACTTATTTCATTTTTTAATGCTCGTATATTTACTGAACATTTGAGTTCAAGGAAAACATAAACACAAACATCAGAGACAATTTTCTCCAAATTCATCGGCCTATTATTCATTGAAAGAGAATGTTTAAAATAATCGAGCAAATATTCAAACGTAACATCAGCTGTCACTAAGTTATCACAGAATGATAAAGAAATATGTCGATTTTGAGAAAGAGGTGATGAAAATGGACTTTGTGAGTCTTCGCTGATATTACTGTCATTTTCGGTAATATTTATTGGTGAGTTATCTTCATCAGATGATAAATTAGGTACAACAGTATCACACAAAGATTCAACAATATTCATGGGTAAATAAATAGATAATGATGTTGGTTTTATTCCTTTCTTTTTTGATAACCAGAGAGAAACAGCATTTTTACTAGCTTTAGTAATTGAACTAAAACGTGCTGTTTGACCTTTTTGTTTCAATAGACCATGTACTTTATTTGAGATCTCCTCTATTACTCGAGATTCTTTCAATATTTCAAGAGATGCGTACATAGACACATCTACATCGATTTTCAACGTTTTTTTCATTACTTAATTTTCAAGTTAAAAAAAAATCAAAGCTTTTTTTCTCACTTAATTATATCGATTAACAAGTCAATCTGTTAAAAACAGTTGATTGATATATTATCGTGGATAAAATATTCAATAATAACGAATGCTTCACAGCGATGATTATAGAGTTAAATGAATCGTTTTTAGTCTTTCGTCGTCTAATGCTCTCTCTACACATGTGTTTTCTTTTCTTATTGCTTGTCATATGATAGAGAGAAGAACGAATCCAAGTAAAGCCAGACAGCCTTTGTGTCCTAAGGCGTATGCAAATGTTCAATTATTTACATCAAAACGAAAATTAATCTTGATCTAATGATGAAAATCAACTTTTTTTTAAAATACCATAGATACGAGATAGGAGACTAAATCTGTGACAAAAAATCACTCTTTCGAACTTATGTTACTCATTACCAATTAATAAAAATTTAATTCATACGATAGATTATATAAGAGGAACTAATATTGAAAGTCTTTCTTTCAATTAAATTAAATTTTAGAACAAAAACATATTGAAAAACTGAATACTATGAAAATAAAAAAAAAGAATTTCTTGTTTCAATTAACTTTCCTTTTTTTTTCTTCTTGTCTCTATGCACGCACATGCTCTTCTTAAGCTTGTTTCATTGTAACTTAGAAAAAAAAAAGAAACAAGAAAATGAACAAGTTCGAAAATTATTAATAAATTTTTATTTTCTATAATTAAATATAAATTGAACTCAAAATATCAAATGAACACTTCAATCATATATTGAGCAATATTTTCATATAGATTAAATGAAATTTTTATAAAAAAATGATCTATTCGAAGATTTATATGTAAATTTATATCATAGTTGACAGACTATAGATTTTATCAGATGAACTAGTATTAAAAGTTTTCTTTGAATTGAATAAAATTTTAGAAGAAAAATATATCAAATAACTTAATATTATGCATATAAAAAAAAAAGAATTTCTTGTTTCACTTAAGCTTTCTATCTTTTCTTCTCGTCTCTATGCACGCACATGCTCTTCTTAAGCTTGTTTTATTGTAACTTCGAAAACAAAAAGAAACAAGAAAAACGAACAAGTTCGAAAATTATTAATAAATTACTTTTTATAAAACTAAATATAAATTTAATTCAAAATTCCAAGTGAATTCTTGAATTACATATTGAGTAATATTTTCGTATAGATTAAATGTTTCCTTTATTGAAAAAATGATCTATTCGAAGACTGATAGGTGAATTTGTATGACGCTTGAAAGAATGTAGATTTTATGAGATGAACTAGTGTTAAAAGTTCTTCTTTCAATTAAACTAAATTTCAGAACAAAAATATAATAAATAACTTAATATTATGCAAATAAAAAAAAAGAATTTCTTGTTTCAATTAACTTTCCTTTTTTTTCTTCTTGTTTCTATGCACGCACATGCTCTTCTTAAGCTTGTTTCATTGTAACTTAGGAAAAAAAAGAAACAAGAAAATGAACAAGTTCAAAAATTATTAATGAATTTTTATTTTCTATAATTAAATATAAATTGAACTCAAAATATCAAATGAACACTTCAATCATATATTGAGGAACATTTTCATATAGAGTAAATGAAATTTTTATAAAAAAAAATGATCGATTGGAAGACTAATCTGTGGATTTGATTTATGTGTGAAATACTATGTTTTATTTTATGTTAAATAATGTTCAAATTCGACAGAAATACAAGTATATGATGATTTTATTGTTGTTAACATTTAAATGAGACCTTGCTGGAAACATTGATTTAATGTTTTCCTCAAGATATATACTCTAACTATGACTGAAAATCGTATGGACTAAACGATAAATACTCAATGATTTTGTTTTGTTAAAATGAGAATGTTCTTTTTTTTCTCCTATTACGTTATTGATAAGGCTTCAACCGATTTCAAAGATGAAGATTGTCTTGAAATGTGGTCATTAGTCTGCCTATGGCATTCACTTGATAGGAAAAAGCTTATTTTCAATTCGTCGAAACTCTAAGACATTTTTTGAGCAAGAAATATATAAGTATATAAACAAAACAGTATCAGAAAGAAAAGTATTCAGCTAGACTCCGGAGAAAAAAATATTTAAAAAAATACTAAAAGAAAAATAGAAAAAGGTGGGAAATGATAAAAGATATATATGTGTCTAACCAAGTATCTAATCAAAATTCAGAAGAAGAAAAAAAAATATTTTTGTTATTTTTCTTTAACCCAACAGTGAAGTTTTCTAACAACATATAGTTCGTCGTTAACAAGTAAAGTTGTCATATAGACATCAACGGTGTTAGTATTATGTGCACATACATGTAAAGAAACACATGTTCTTCTTCGAAAACTTCTATTATTTGTTTTCCTGAATTTCATATAACAGAAACAAAGTGAAGAAGATTCCTACGAATATTTACCTTCATAACAAATCGTATAACTATCGATTGAAATATTGTGGTTGACATTCTATTCATAAAATTTTTTATTAATAGAGCTACATCACTTAAAGCACCTGTTGTCCTTTATGAAAGAGAATCTGAGAATAAATGGTTTCGTATGTTTACTAACGTTAATTATATTTTCAAGTCATTTGCTTTAATTTAATGCTTTGTCGATAAAAGAAACATTTTATTCTATATGAAAATATTACTCAATATGTAATTCAAGAATTCACTTGAAATTTTGAATTAAATTTATATTTAGTTTTACAAAAAGTAATTTATTAATAATTTTCGAACTTGTTCGTTTTTTGTTTCTTTTTGTTTTCGAAGTTATAATGAAACAAGCTTATGAAGAGCATGTGCGTGCATAGAGACGAGAAGAAAAGATAGAAAGCTTAAGTGAAACAAGAAATTCTTTTTTTTTTATATGCATAATATTAAATTATTTGATATATTTTTCTTCTAAAATTTTATTCAATTCAAAGAAAACTTTTAATACTAGTTCATCTGATAAAATCTATAGTCTGTCAACTATGATATAAATTTACATATAAATCTTCGAATAGATCATTTTTTTATAAAAATTTCATTTAATCTATATGAAAATATTGCTCAATATATGATTGAAGTGTTCATTTGATATTTTGAGTTCAATTTATATTTAATTATAGAAAATAAAAATTTATTAATAATTTTCGAACTTGTTCATTTTCTTGTTTCTTTTTTTTTTCTAAGTTACAATGAAACAAGCTTAAGAAGAGCATGTGCGTGCATAGAGACAAGAAGAAAAAAAAAGGAAAGTTAATTGAAACAAGAAATTCTTTTTTTTTATTTTCATAGTATTCAGTTTTTCAATATGTTTTTGTTCTAAAATTTAATTTAATTGAAAGAAAGACTTTCAATATTAGTTCATCTTATATAATCTATCGTATGAATCAAATTTTTATTGATCGACAACGATGTAACGTTAGGATTGAGCTATTTTTGAGACAGCAACTATGGGATACGTCTGACTAAAGAGTATTGTAAAAGTTAGACGTATCAACGAAATGATACATATAGATTTGCGTTTTATTAAATAAAAAACAGTACGATCTCATGATTGAATTCCAACACGAAGTAGTTTTTAGTTCGTTTTGGTTGAAGAAAAGTTTATCATTATGTGACACATGAACCTTTTGTGTTATTTTATTTTTCCTAGAGATTGATCTTCAAGTATTGCTTAGTATAATATGTAATGTAAAAATTAGTTTCAAATCATTAGAATAATCAAAAAGCTCAAAATTTTATTTTTAACACGATTTTTTTTGATAAAGATATTCGTTTTTTTTATCGTTACGTTCGTTAGAATTTTTAAATCGTTTTCATTTTTATTGTCACGTGCATGTCTAGGTTTGAATCTTTGAAAAAAGCTGCCGTTTCTATGTATATATACGTCGTATTGTTAAGCACGAAGAGAAGCGAACGATCATCAACATACAACACCACGGATATGTTTATACTGACTTTCTCGTCTTCATATTCTTATTTTTTTAATTAAAATGTTTCTAATTCAAGGAAATATCTTATCTATTTTCTGATTTAGATTTGAAAAATGTCTTTCCATCCAAAAATGGTAGAAACAGGCACCGGTGCTAGTCCACCTGCCTCAAAAACACGTGAAATGGCTACATCTCCGATCAAGTTCTATTCTCTTATAGAATCATCAACATCTGATGATTCCAGTGATTGTTCAACTATGGACAATAGAAAAAATACCAACGTAGAAAATATAGGCATTATGAACGAGTATGTTTATAGGCACACATTTTTTAATCCTGAGTAGCATAATAAACAGTTCGTGAAATTCTTTTTCTGTTAGTTTTACATGTTTCTTGAATTTTTTCTAATATTTCACACGAAAGTCACGAACCATAATATGTTTTATTTTAGAATGGTTAACAAACAATCTATGTTACCATTTCCATCTTCATCAACTAATGGGTCATCATCTAATACACCTGTGTTGTCATCTTTACCATCAAGCACACCAGTGCCATTAATGTCGATCGGTGAGAGATTTTTTTAATTATCCTTACTCCTATTCATTTGTCAAAGCTCAATACTCTTGTATTTTTGTTTTAGAGTTAAACAATCGTAATCGTTTCAACTCAATTACTAATCCAACAGCAACAATAGGTAATAACAACAACATAGTTGATCATAACCGACGATGGCCGATCAATTCTCGAAGCGAAGGAATTTTTAAGCGTCAAAAACGACGAGCAAGAGAAAATAGTCGATATCAACGTCATCATTATCAACAATGTTATTGTCGACAATGTTTCTTCGGAGCTCGAACGGGAGCATTAGGTAATGCTTTAATTAAATTCGTTTACTTGATGAGATAGATGAAATAAGAGCAAAAGAAAAGAAAAAAAGAATGAATAACACTTCGCATATAGCTGAACGGCTAAGAGCGTATATAACGCGACGTCGGGTTCGATACCCGTGCGAAGCGTTTTTTTTTCGTTCTGTTCAATATTTTGCATGGAATTTTGTCCAAAAAATTTTTGCTTGCGGTCAGAGGTACCCTCTCGAGATCTCAACGGGGACGGGGGTAATCAATCATGCTGATTCCAAATATGCAATTTGTTTTTACCGAGAACATATCTTTCAAAACCCCTCTGGGGTGATATGTGTACGATAAAGATGGCCAATTGTACCACGAAAATGGTCATTTGTACCATCAAAGTGGTCACTTGTACCACAGAAATGGACATTTGTACCATAAAAAACTTGCTAGCGCAGCTCCAAAGAAGCTAAACTGTGGAACTCACGTATATCTTTGAAACTTGTTATCCTAATGTCTGATTTTTAAACTGCAAAATAGTTCTTCGAGCATTTATGAAAGTCTTGATATATTATATAGAATATAAAGTATTTTATACGCGGTTGCTGAGGTCTGTAATAGTGACATGTCTGTAATGGGAGTATATCTGTAATGGTGGGGTGTCTGTAATGGGGGCTGTCTGTAATCGGGAGTATGTCTGTAATGTTCTCTTTCCTGTTACTATGTGTCTCGAATGGGGTGGGAGTAGGGGAGGGGAAGCCGGAAACCTCGAAATTAAAACTTACACTCACTATTTTCTTCGAAAACATACGTGAGTTTCACAAAATGGTCACTTGTACCACGGAAATGGTGCTTTGTGCCATGAAAATAGTCATTTGTACCACAAAAATGATCATTTGTACCATTAAAATGGTCATTTGTACCATAAAAACGGTCACTTGTACCACAGAAATGGTACCTTGTACCATGTAAGTGGTCACTTGTACCACGGAGATGGTCATTTGTACCATAAAAATGGTCATTTGTACCACGAAAATGGTACTTTGTGCCATGAAAATGGTCACTTGTACCAAGTGTTACAGACAGACAGACGAACAAACAGACACAGATGAATTATGGTTTTTAGACCCTAGCCTTTCAGTCTAGAGAATAAAATTGAAATATTTATTTGAAGTAAAATTTAACATGAAAATGTTTTTTTTTGTTCAAGTTGTTCAACTGAACCATATTTCAGATGATTTTACCATTGATATTATGCTTTTCTGTTCTCTGCTGTAGATTCTTACATTCAAATATTGAGTTCGAATTACATCTTATATAAATATGTTTCTTCCATTCAGATTCTACAACTGAACAAGGTGGAAGCTATTTTTTTATCTTCATAAATTATGTTTTTATTTTTTCTGTTGTAGATTATTCAAACGAAATATTTATATGAATACGGGTATCGTAATTAACTTCTGTTTTACTCTGGGCTAACTCCCCCCCCCCTTCCGATCTCATACGTAGACAACCCTATAATAGAAGCCTATCCGGAATAGAAGCCCAGTCTTGGGTTTACAATTTTTTGGACATATTAGAAGCCAACCCGGTCTTAAATAAACATAAAACAGATGATTTAAAATATTGGATCGATTATCTCGTTGCTTCTCACTGTTTAGCTATAACTTAATTTGTGTCTCATTTCATTTATTTTGTATGTATTTTCTACCAACAGACATGAGATTCTATCGAGAAAATTCAAAAATACGAGGCATAAGTATTAATAAATTTAGGTGTCTAAGAGCTATGGAATAGAAGTTTGAGTACAATAATATCATCTTGTTAAGTTTCTTCCTTTTACGCAATCATGGAGAGTTCAAAAACTGAATGATCGAAATTTTGCTTACTTGACAGCATTATGAACAAATCTTTTGATGAAAACGAGACTTCTCGAAATGTTGAACTACGATCGATATCAACCACGCGAGAGCTCATAAGAGTCAAAACCGGATGTGAATGAGTAGGGTGCGATATCGATTATTATAACGCTTATAAGATCTCGATTATCTTTCTCTTAGATACGAGAGATCCTTATTTTATAGTCAAAGACTTATATATTCTTTTCTGACGCGGTAGTTAAAATATATCGCGTTTTCTTATTTTATATCTGAAGTATACAGAAGCGCTCATGATGAAAACGTTCGATAGAACTATATTCATTTATGTATGATATAATTTTTTTCGACTTTTTTAAAGCTTGACAATATTTCATATCAATCTGCCATGCTAACACCAGTTTTCGTATTATAGCGATTCCAACGAAACGCTAAAATAGACGAACGCTTTAATGTGAAACCTAGTGTGGACAACGCATTACTTTCTTGGTTCGATAGTAGTGAACCGACAACGAAGTGCTTGCCAGTGTATGGTCTGTAGGAAACCATGACAGTTCTTTCTGAAACTTTTAAATAATTTAAAAATTCCGATTTTAATTTTTGAGCATTTCGGCGCTTCCAAGTTGATAAAATCCTAGCTGCGATATGAAAAAAGTTGATCGCATTATACGCCCATGTTCAGACTTATAATTTTCAAAATAAAATAGGATCCCAGTGGGCTTTTATTCTG